GTACGCTCGCCAGACAGACAGAGAGAGACAGAGAGACAGAAAGCGAGAAATCACCCCCCAGGGGGGATGGTCACGCCGCAATCCCTTCTCCTCCATTCTCCTCTTGGGATCCTGGGCACGCACGCACACGCGCCCGGCGTGAGTTTTAAGCCACCGGGTCCAGGACACGAGCTGTGGTTGACTACGTGGGAGTCCAGCGACATAGCCATTACGCTAACTGCTGGTTCCCCTAACTTGTTTCTTAATGATGAAATCCAACCCAGAGTCTTTCTTTACTCAAGAGTTCTCCAAACACCATGCATTAACATCTTTATTTATTTCCGTATTTATTTCTTTCTTTCTGTCTATTTATTTATTTTAAATTAAATTGGCTAGAGAGAGACAGAAAGAGAGAGAGAAATGGAAAGTGAGAAAGCAAGCCAGCAGGTCCGGGACTCGAACCGTGGTCAGCCATGTGGGAGTCCAGTGCCCTTAGCCACCACACCACCTGCCGGCCCTGTTATTTCCCTATTTCTGTAATAGATAACTCTCTCAGTCTATGCTTGTTGAAAACGTGCATTCCAGTCAATGTCCACAGTCCCGCTGGACCCTGTAGGGCAGTGTGGCTTTGTCTCTTCCCATGCTCGTAGCTCCTTTCCCCGGCTCTGAGACTCTGGCTCCCGTTACCCTCACGTGCTCAACGCTCTCGTATATAATCGAACTTCCATTGCCGCCACCCCCTCTGCACTGCACAGACGGCCTCACCCACACTCAGGCTCTGCCTCCCCACTCTGTGCCGTCACTGCTGTCTCCCACTCACACCCCAGCCTGGAGACCTCCTCTGTGCACACCTGGGCTTCTAACCCTGGTGATTGTTCCTTGGCCCTCATCCTCTCCACAACTTGGGCACCCTTCTTAGCCTGCCCTGCTCACACACTGTTCTGGGCTGCCCAGATCCCCTCCTAACCTCACTTGGTCTCCGGCATCCCTTGCAGGACGTCACAGCTCTCTTGTAACCTGCCCCAGCAGAGGCCTTCCTCTCCCTCTGGGGGCTCTGATACCTTGTGCTAGGCCACCTCCCTGCTCTGACCCCACACAGAAGTGCTCACCCACTGAGATGTCAACATTTCGTGTCTGCTTCGCTCCCTCGCCCTGCCCACTACCATGCAGAAATGCCCTCTTCCCTCTGGGACTCCAACGTTCCACGCCTTCCCGCATGGACACCCTCTTCACCCCTCGATGCCCACATGTCTGTCTTCACTCTGGACAGTGGAGAGCACGGTCAGGCTGCCAGCCCTGCCTGCATGGGACGACTCCAGGAACGATCGGCAGTACCAGTGCTCCGTGAGACTGCCCCAGAGCCCGGGTCTTATGAACTGGAAAGACCTTCGAAGACCATTTAGCTCTGACTTGAGGCATGACTTTTCACGGTAACTTTTTAATGAAAAGTTTTCTGACAAACAGTGGTTGGTGCATCACCTTACAAGTCCGCCTATTTATTTATTTATTTTTTCAGATTTGCTATAGGACATGTGAGCTCACCACAGAGACAGACAGACAGAGGAGGGACGTGAGAAAAGCATCCCCCAGGGACATGGCCATACTGCAGTCCCTTCCCCTCTATTCCCCTCTCAACATTTTGGTCACTTACACTCCTGCACCTGGTGTGTCTCCCAAGCCTCCAGGTCCAGGACTCAAACTGCACAGCTGGCTGTTGGGATCCAGCCACCTTATCCACCATGCCCCTGGCTGGCCCTCTATTTCATTTGTGAATAGATTTAACTGTGAAGATGGGTTCCCCGCTTGTCTCGTGGGCCTGACTATACATCCCCCTTGTTTAAACAGCCAAGTTTGCTTACAGAAACCCTCTGCATGGAGGTGGGGTTCATTTGAGATGACCCTGTCGTGCTTCCTACACGTGGTCTTGCCATCACCAAGCCATCCCACCGAAAATCAGAGCTTTTATAAGAAACATTGAGCTTGAGGGCTGCGAGGAGAAGCCAAGAGTTTGTTTCGATGTCTCAGAGCAGTCCTTTGACCATAAATGTTCAACAGATTGTTCAGTAAATTGTAACTCAGGGGGGAACTGGTCAGGACGAAGGGACCGGTCTGTACATTGGATGCAGACCATCTCCTTGATGGGTTGCTGTTACTTTTTTTTTTTTTTAATTAGATTTTTTGCTGTAGGGCTCAAGAGCTCACTGGAGAGACAGAAAGCAGAAATCGCACACCCCCCCACTCCCCGGAGGAATGGCAGTGCTGCGGTTCCTTCTCCTCCCTTCTCCTTCTGGGATTTGGGGCACACACACATTTGTGCTTGGTGTGAGTTTCAAGCCTCTAGATCTGGAGTTGGTGATGTGGGAACCCAGCACCTTCATTGCTTCGCCACCTGCTAAGCCTCCATCTTATCTCCAGTAATCATACCCTGGCCTCTGGATCTCAGCTTCCAGCAGAGCTTCCTGCAGCAAGGAGATGGTCTCCGTGGTGCTGAAGGTAGTGACTCACCTGTAGCCACAGAGCACTGGGAAACTGAGTTTTAAATTCTGTTTAGATTTAGCCTAAATTTCAGTGGCCTCGTGGCTAATTGCTACTGGACGGTGAAGTTCTAGGGAGTCTGTTAGGCCCTCACTCTCCTAACCCTGATGAGGGAATTACCCTTTTGCTCTGGGTTCACCTGAATAAAGAAACCACTGAAATAAATACTCCTGAGGATGCAGACGCGGTCGGGCTGCGGTACGTGCGCTCCCTTCCCTGGAGCTTAGCTCATCTGGCTGGCCTGGTGCGTGGGCACCTTCTTCACTCATTGCTTTATGTGCTTGGGACCTGAAGCATAATGCTCTATAAAAGATGACCTTCTTGGAACCAGCAGTTAGCGTAATGGCTATGCCACTGGACTCCTGTGTAGCCGACCGCCATTCAAGTCCTGGACCCGGTGGCTTAAACTCACGCTGGGCTCATGTGCGTGCGTGCCCAAGATCCCAAGAGGAGAATGGAGGAGAAGGGATTGAAGCATGGCTATTTCCCCTGGGGGGTGATTTCTCACTTTCTGTCTCTCTGTCTCTCTCTGTCTGTCTGGCGAGTGCATGCGCCCTGTAGCAAAAACCTCTCAGAAAAAAAGACTTAAAAAAAAAGATGACCTCAGCGAGAGATTATTCTCTGGCTGTGGGTGTATGGGTAAGGCACACCTCCCAATGAGTCTAAGAGACCAAGAAAAAGAACAATTATGCTTTCTTTTTCCCCAAAGGAAAAAAGGCAGAAAGAGACAGAGAGAGAGAGAGAGACATGGGCTCATAAACTTTAGGCTTTGGATCCATTTTTATGAACAGCCTCGCCCTGGTGGGCCTGGCGGCCTTGCCTGTGAGAGGCATAGCCCTCGTGTTCCCCTGGCTTGGACCAATTTCAGCGGGACATGCTGAGCTTCTCACCCCTTGTCTCCAATTACCAACTCGTTCTGTCCCTAAGGCCTTCCCAAGGGGGGCTTTCTTCCCCCCTGGGGCCTCTCCGTGGCATAGGGATGCCATTTGACAGGCAGAAGCGAGAGACAGTCTTTGATCTGTTCCAGTTTTGCACCACCACTGCCCATCAGAATGCCTTCTTTCCCAGTTTGAAGGATGAAGGCAGCTCTCAGTTTCTTTTCAGCTCAGAGAGGCAAATACCACTGAAGATAAAATTTCAGTTTTCCTTCCAAATATTAATCAACTAGTCAGTTTCTCTCTTTATACACACACACATGCACACATGCACACCCATATGTATATCATGCTTTCTAAGCTTGGCACATCGTAAGTATTTCTTTACATTAAACACTTTTCTTGGGACCAGCAGATGGCATAGTGGGTTTGTCGCTGGACTCCCACATGGTCAACTGCAGTTCTAGTTCCTGACCTGGCAGCTTAAAATTCATGCTGGGCACTTGTGTGTGCATGCCCAGAATCCTGAGAGGAGAATAGAGTAGAAGGGATCGTGGCATGGCCATTCCTCTAGGGGGTTTGGGGGGGGGTGATTTCTTGCTTTCTGTCTCTCTTTGTCTCTCTGGTGAGCGCATGCACTCTATAGCAAAAATTTCTCTTAAAAAAGATTTTTTGCCTGGTGCCAGCAGGTAGCATGGTGGGCTCCAACATGGCTGATGCAATTCAATTCCTCGGCTTGAAAATCACGCCAGGTGTACGTGTGTGCGTCCCAAAATTCCGAGAGGAGAATGGAACAGGAGGGGCATGATTTCTCACTTTCCCCCTCACTGTCTCTCTCTAGCAAGTATACGTGCTGGCAAAAGCCTTTAAAAAAAATCACTTTTCCCAAATAAAATCCTTTTTGATTGCATAGTATTACAGCATGTGAGTGAGTCATACTTTACTTTCTTATGGTATATAATTTAAATATTAAGCAATGCCACGGAGTGTAATTTCCAAAGATAATCAGGGAAGCGAAGACCGAAGAGGGAAGACTTGCTGCCATGAGTTCCATGCCAAAGCTTGCCCTACCCCGACTCAAGCCAGCAGCCATTTTCCAGTCACCTCTTCTCCTCCCTCGTAGCCCCCGGCGGTACTTCCTCCTGTCGTCCCAGACGGCTCTCCACCCCGAGTACCGGGAGGACCTTGAAGCCCTTCAGGCCAAGCACGGCGAGTCTGTGTTGGTGTTGGACAAGTGCACCAACCTCTCAGAGGGCGTTCTTGCCGTCCGCAAGCGCTGCCACAGGCACCAGGTCTTCGACTACCCCCAGGTGCTGCAGGTGAGTGTCGGATCACCTCTCTCCAGGCTCAGCAGGGGTCGCTGGAGAGCCAACCCCAACACTGGAGTTGTTTCCCCGCAGCCCGGAGAGCTAGCCGAGGGAGCTGGGAAGCACACGGCTGGCTTTACGGGACACGTAGACTGTCTGAGGCTTGGCCGTCTGCCGTGTTGTGCTCATGGGAAGCTGCTGGTCTACACGAGCTCATACCCCTTTCACATACCCATTATGCCCCTGGTGACGCACTGCTCAGCCACGGGCACCCTCTGAGAAACGTGTCACTGTGCAGACGTCCCCGGAGTACCTGGGGAATCCTTGGGGTAGAGCCCACTGCAGCGTCAGCAGATCTGTGGGCAATTGTTCGAGGCTCTGAGCCTCCGCCCGGCGTGGCACTGTTCTGAGTACAGCGGGCAGTTGTAGCATCGTGGTGAGTAGTCGTGTGTATAAAGCCTGCGTGAGGAAGAGGTTCTGTAGAAACATGGCATAAGAGATAAAAACACCCCTCCGCACATAGCACTCACCACGGCGGCACTTACAGGACAGGGCGTTGCTCCGCTGAGTTAGCGATCAGTGACCGCGATGGACAGGTGGTCACTGCGCCCTGCTATGGGCAGCCCAGACTACACAGAGGCTGCACTGCGCTGATGAAAAATATGTAACCGCAACGTAAGTAGTTTACTTCATAAATCAATTTTTTAAAATGTTTACTCATTTGTAATAACAGTTTAAAATGCAAATACATGGTATAACTGTGTAGAAATAATATTTTCTTTATATCCTTATCCAATAAGCTTATTTAAATATTCATTTCATTTAAAATATGTTTTACTTCTCAGCGTTTCTGTTGAAAGCTGAGGCACAGACACACAGGCTCGTGTTGTGCGTCATCAGTACCCCTGCCTTCTGCCCTCACACTGTGGCCCCTGAGAGGGTCATGGTGGCTGAGACAATGCGAGAGTAGATTGAGCACAGGAGAAAACGACAGAGCCGAGCACGGTTAACGCAAGGTCTGTGAGGCCGCTGCTGACACATTGCTCACAGTAAACTTTTTAAAGTTTATTCTTTTCTTCTGTGGGGGATGGAGCGAAGATAGGCATCCCCAGCGGGGCCCCCACATGGGTCTCTCCCTACACAGTAAGTCTGTCTCACGGGCATGCACCTGTGCCCTGCATGTCAGGGAAGGCCCAGGACGCGAACCTGGAACCCTTCCCACTTGAGTCCAGCTGCATGAGTGCTACGCCACTGCCTGGCCCGAAAGTGAACTTTTATTTTTAACTAAAAGGAAGACACTCTAATGTGAAGCCAGAAAGTGTCGCTCCCCACCAGGCTCTCTGCTGGGTGACTCTGCTGGGTGACTCTGTGTGCTGTGCTCTGTTGCCACCAGCCACGGGCGACGTGCTCTGCTGTTTTGTTAGCTGTGGCTGCTGCTGCGATGTCTCTGGGTGGCAGGAATTTTTCAGCTCCCTTGTAATCAAGTGGGACCACTGTTGGGTGTGCCTTCGTTGGTGACCAAAGTGTGCAAATCCTGTGGGTGCACGATGACACCGTATGGACAAAGCAGGCAAACGTACTTGGCTTTTACCCTGGTATCCCTAAGCCAGTGCAGAGAAAAGACATTTCCTTTTTTTTTTTTTTTTTTTTTTTTTTAAGGTTTTTTCCAATAGCAAACTTTACTTTCTTTAC